GTTGCTTAGGACTTACAATCCACACTCCCAATTTTCTGGTCCACTTAGTGTGAGTACTATAGCACTTCATATAAAATCTTGCAATTTTCCAGATTACCTTCATTACCTTGTAACTTTACAGATCAAATTCATCATCATATTTTCAATAGCTGCTTTTAAGTTCTTATCTGCAGATTCTAATGTTTGATCACCACAGATTAGTTTCTGTGTGCTGCCTTTTCTAGAGTAGGAATCATTTTCTCTTATTTCTATCTAATGTAATGATTGTGGACCAGATGAAGGACATCGTCGATGATGTATTCATTAACATTCTGTTATATTCTTTCAAAAAAATCTTGATTTTAGGGGAAAAAGCGGAAAATTAACCTGCACCTGCTCTAACTCAAACCTTTTACCTATTTCCCTATTGATGGAAGAGAAAGTCACTGAAATCTCTCAATTTTGTTTGGCTTCCACCCTGTGCTTATGCAGTTCAGGAGTCAGCCAGAGATTTAGGCAAAGTGAATACCTAGAATTTTGTACTCCCCTTCTCTGGATCTCTCCTTTTTGAGATTTTTCCCTCACCCTGTTTCTAGATCCTGTGATTGCTCTAAACTCTGCTGTCCAGGGAACTCTACCAGCTGCTCTCTGTGGTGCTAACTGGGAGATGTCATCACATTAAAAACCGTGAAAAAGAGAAATCCACTGTGTATCCCTTCTTCCCAGTGTTGGTCCCCACCTGTAGCCCCAGTTCTACCTGCTTTGAGTTTCTCTTGAGTGTCTTTGGGTAGTTCTTTGTAACATTTGCAGTCACGTTTGTTACCTACAAGACAGCTAGGTTGCAGAACCTTCTAGCACTCAGTAGTTGCAATTAACCTAATTGCCTGTCATGGATCGGTGAGAGATCTTCAGAAGATCATCAGTATCCTCTGCTTGAGACGTTTGATGAGTGCCTGTAACCAAGTTCCTGCAGCGATCCCATGGCTGCCATTCCTAGGCCTGACTTCTCAGCAACACCTCTGAGCCATGCCCCACCTTTCTAACATACTCATTTCTAGTGCCCACTATGACTGTATTTCCTATGTCTTGTAAACATATTCTAATAAAAAAGAATAAGTAGCAAAAAGTAAATTTATTCCTTTTGTTTCTGGTCATAGCTCATTTTGTTGCTGGAAAAGAACTATAATCAATATAATTTTATGCACATTTTGTACAATGAGCGTGCTTATTTGTCCTAAGGTTGGAGAAGGAAATATTGCCATTTACAAATAAAGACATCAGCTGTAGCTGTAGACATAGGAGCCACGTTGGCAGCTACAACTCAGTGTCAGGTGGCAAAAGTCAAGGCAAATCAGAAAATAAACATGGCAGACAGCACAGACGTTCAGTATTTACTAATGACTAAATTACTTCAAAATAATGATATCGATTATCCAAACCAAAAGATGCTTCAGGGCATTTCCTTCAATTCCTTACTGAGTTCTGCTGATGACTTCCCAGATGCTCAGGACTGAAAGTGGTTTTGACTAAAGCAACGGTTAGAAGATAATAGGAAAATCTGTATCACCGGCTTACCCTTTACATTCATTTTTGGTGTTAGAAAACGTAGCCGTAGTTCTAAGGTTGGTGGTGGAATTGGCTTCCTTTCAATGACTCTCTAAAAAATGCTATTCTCCCCTTGTTACTTTGCTACCTGTGCACACCATGTTGTTTTTCCCCTGCAACGCCTGTGTGGCATCTCTGCCTTGGAGCCAGCCAATTATGGACTGAAACCTCTACGAATTGGAACATGAGGAATGCGCTAGGACTGAAGGAATCACCTGCAGTTGGAACCAGCAAGGAAAACACAACACTGCTCCCAGAGTGGCCTTCCGCAATCAGCCGCTGAGTCCAACCACCTCCATTTCCATGAGATGGAAAGTGACAGCATTTTCAGCCAGTACTCAGTTCTCCCAAACTGGGGTATGATATTGTTAATGACCCCTCAGAAATCTGAATATTGGAACCTCAAGAAAGCCAATTAATAGCAACAGCTATGACATTTTGGCTATAATAATAAAATCATCATCAAATTATAGCAGTCAATACAAACTGAACGTTGTAAAACCTAAGGACCAATAAAGTATAGTGGTACCTCAGTTCATGAACTTAATTCGTTCCATGGTTTTGCTTACAAACTGAGTTGGACAAGAACCATGACCAATTCATTGGTTAGGTTCAATGTTGCCCTTATGAGGAAATTTTGATTTGGTTCTTGTCCAATTTGGTTTGCAACCAGAATTGTGGAAAGAAGTTTGTGAAGCAAGCTACCACTATACCAGACTTGTCTATAGGAAAGAGTTGTATAATTACAGTATGAACATGAAATGAACCAAATATTGTCCTACTATTGACCTACAGTAAATGGAACAACTTTATTCTTCTAACAATAGCACAGTACTCAAGAGGAATAATGTAAAGTTAACTGTTTATCTAGAGGTTCATAAAGCGTGTTTCTTATTCCAATAAAGATAAGAGAGAATGGGGAACATAAAAAGCAAGATTCAAAAAAAATTAATTGATGGGGTATGAAAAGGAAGGGAGAAAATAAGACAGAGGGTCAGTCCTATGAAGGAGTAAAGGAAATAACAGTGACAAAAATTATTCATTGGAAAAAAAAAACAAAAAAAGAAAAAAGATAAACAGCAAAAACAAGAGAAAAGCAAAAGAAGAATAAAGAGAAGTCAGAAGACCAAAAAATAAGAGGCAAAAAATAAAATGAAGACCAAAAAAGTGAGAAAACCCCCATACCCTTAAAAAAATCTGAAGAAAAGATAAAAACAATACAAAATAGGGGGAGAAAAAAGAGATTGAGGCAAGAAAATGTAACTGTGTTACTAAGTGAGTAGTATCTGTCTATGATCTACAGTCTTTTTTGGGGGGGTACCAGGGATAGAACTCAGGACCTTGTACTTGCGAGGCAGGTGGTGGCACCACTGAGCTAAATCCTGGCCCATGGCTAATTCTCACTAGGTACTTCAGTTAGGTCTTATATTCAGGGAGACATACTGTACCACTGTACTGAATACTACGTGCACCTCGAAGCTTCACCCTGCTATGGATCCACCCCCTCCACAGGTGCACTTTGAAATAAGCGTTCTTCTCTCTCAAAGAAAATTGTGGAAATTTCTAGAAAGTCTCAATGCTCCCAAATTAAATAAACATTATGATATAATCAATCCAGGAAAGAAAAACATCCTAAACAGTCATAATGTAACAGCCTAACTGAACTAGAGCCACTCCATGTTGACCAGCAAAATGACCCAGAGACTGTTGTCCCCCCACACCCATTATAGGATAACTAATGATTAATTGTGAATTATTAGGTAACTGCTTAGGAGTAGCTGGAAAACTAGATGGAAATTGTAATGAACATAGAGACCCAAAATCAATCACGCCACTCCTTACTTGCCCATAATTGAATGTTCTGAACACCGCAATTTAAGTTGTAAATAGAACAATGGATAATCGATCTGCTGATCATTAGTACTTATCAGTCGAGTATGTGATTGATGATCACCAGCTCAGATCAACTGATTACTTGCCTTTGTCTCCTTCCTGTAAGTTTGGAGTGTAACCCCCCCGCCCTATAGTCCTGTATAAAATGGCCTCTGATTCTGAGCTAGCTGCCTCTCTGAGCTACTTGGCTTCAGGAGCGCCGTCTGGCCAGACTAGTAAAGATCTATTTGCCAACCAGCCTGGTGTGTTCCTTCCTGGGTGACTCTCGCTGTTCGACAAGCTCCTGGAGCCTTGCTGAGCTTTTGGGCTCAGCATCATGGAGGCCTCTTGGCTGTTCACGCCCCAGGAGTAAAAGTGAGACTTTAAGTCTTACAATAGCTCTCTAAGTGAAAATCCCCAGCCTTGTATCTTCAGGAAAAATGCCTTTTATGTGGAAAAAGACCCCTGACCACTGTACTCCTTACATGCAAACTGTCAGTGCACACGCGTTGCTTTAAAAGCTAAATTAGCAAAAGTGTTTTTCTAGTTTTGCTATTTCTAAATAGCACACTGAGTTAGACAAGATGGTGTGTGACTGTAACCCTATCACTCTGGGTGGCTGAGGTAAGAAGACCACATGGGGGAGTCCAACCTGACATATCTGGTGAGTCAGAGAGACCCTCAGAGCATGTCTGACAAAAGTGTCTGAGGTTATAGTTCACTCAGGAGATGCGGGGTACAAGTCCCGGTAATGCAAAAGTGAAAAACTAACAGGTAGGTGATATATAGACAAAAAGATTCATAGATGCTTAGATAAAAGTAGTAAAATAAGTAGCCACTGCTTTATGTAGTATGAAGAATAAGATGGGCCATAGGGTTTTCTATTGCATGGGACTGCGGTTGTGGAACCCCCAAGACGTGACGTCACTTCCTGGGCGACATCACCAAACAGAACCTGGAACCCTTGCTAATGGGCATCACAATCTACTCCAGCTGTCTCCTGAGGCCACTTGGCCAGAGACGGTCAACAGCGAACATGCTGAGCTGCTTCTCCACTTCGCAAAGCCGCATCCTCAGGACCCCAGGCAGAGAAAGTGTCTGTGAAAGATTGAGAACACGGCTGACTCCATCCAGACGCCACAGGCCGCACTGCAGCAGCCACACGACTGTCACAGATACCCCAGGGAAGGTCTCCCCGGGAGTGACCACCAGTGACCTACCAAAGTCAAGGTGCCCCTGTGAAGTCTCCCTAGGCCCAAATGCCAAGGGCACAGAAACTGGGAAGAGCATGGGGAAAGTATCACCAGGCCCAGAAACACCCAGTCGCAATGGGCAGGTCTCCCCAGAGCCAAGCACAGAAAACCTAGAGTCAAAGTCCAGGGAGGGAGACCGAAGTCACAGCCACCTGCCCCCAAGAGACACTGAGAAGCCTGGTGTACATCCACCTGGGCCTGGCCGCCGCTATTGGAAATAACTTCACAGGGAGCCTTGCAGAATCCCGGCTGGTATGGTCCATGCAGGCAGTCGGGCCTCACTCACTCACCATGCCCTTCCTGCCCGTTTTCCTGGGCAGCCAACTGGTCTACGGTCCCCTCTTCCTGGGCACCTCCACCGCCCACACCTCTACCCGATCGGTCCTGAGTTTGAGAAGAGACATCGTGACAGCGTCTTTTGAGAATTCCAGCTCCTTTGAGGGCCTGTGTGATAAAGATTGAGATGTGTGGTGTTTGGACAATAAACAGCTTTTCACCACAGATTGGGTAGAGGAGGAAGGAGACTCCTATACTGTGTCACCTCCGTTGGAGTTAGAAGAGGCCATTAAGCTTTCTGAACTAAAGAAAGATTCTGAGCTTAATCCATACATTGCCTTATATAGCAGAACATCCTAAAGTACCTTTGTCCAGAAGAGAAATCCATCCGGCACAGAGCTGCAGACCGCTGGAGAAAGCTGTATAGTGCAAATGGCAATGCTCTTCAAGCCAAATGCGTCAGCGGGCAAACTCACTGTGCCATCTGCACAGACCGGGTAGGGGGCCTTGGCCGCCAGGTGTATAAGTGCACCAGCTGTAAGCTCTCAGTTCACAAGAAGTGCCACAAACTTGTCACAGTTCAATGTGGGCAGCATTCTTTACCATCGGAGACCACGATGCCAGTGGATCCATCATCCCTGGCTTCAGACCCTGCACAGACAGTGACCCCACATGATCTTTCAACTCATGAGGCTTTAGAACCAGTCGACGAAGAGTGAGGAAGGGAACAATGGGGAACGTGGCAAAGCTTCACCTGGTTTAGGTCTTCAGGACTTTGCTTTGCTTCACGGGATAGGCAGAGGGAGCTATGGGAAAGTACTGTTGGTTCAAGTGAAAAGATCAGATCGTATGTATGCGATGAAAGCAGTGAAAAGAGTTTGCCAACACTGACTGGATACGGACAGAGAAGCACACTTTACAGCAGGCATCTAACTGTCCTTTTCTTGTTGGACTGCACTCTTCCTTCCAGACAGAAAGAAGACTGTTCTTTGTCCTAGACTATGTAAATGGTGGAGATCTACTGTTTCATTTGCAGAAACAGAATACTTCCTGAAGAACGTGCTAGGTTTTACTCTGCAGAAATCAGTTTAGCATTCAACTATCTTCACCAGCGAGGGATACTTTACAGAAATTTGAAATCGGACAATTTATTACTGGACTCAGAAGAGCACATTAAACTCACTGACTATTGCATTTGTAAGGAAGGCTTACAGCTAGGAGATACCACCAGCACTTTCTGTGGCACTCCTAGTTACCTGGCTCCAGAAATTATAAGAGGGGAAGATTATGGCTTCGGTGTGGACTGGGGGACTCTTGGAGTCCTGATGTTTGAGATGATAGTTGGAGAGTCTCCATTCCATCTTGTTGAGAGCTCTGATAACCCTTATGAAAATTCCATCGATTATCTCTTACAAGTCATTTTGGAGAGAGACATTTTCATACCTCATTGTCTGTCTCTGAAAGCTGCAAGGGTCCTGTACAGTTTTCTGAACAGGGACCCAAAGGAACAATTGGGTTGTCAACCTCGAAGGGGATTTGCTGATGTTCAGATGCATCCATTCTTTCGAAATGTTAACTGGGAGATGATGGAGCAAAAGGAGGTGGTGCCTCCCTTTAGACCAGATATTTCTGGGGGATTTGGTTTGGACAACTTTGATGCTCAATTTACTAATGAACCTGTCTGGCTCACCCCAGTTGATAATGACATTGCCAGGAAGATTGATGGGTATTAATTTGCAGGCTCTGAGTGTACCAATGGTCTTTGCCTGTTTGAAGAAGAATGGGTCTGATCCTCACTTTTTAACGGTGTGTTCTGCTTATGCTATTTAACGCTTGGAAAAACTTGTTACCTGCTTGGTTGGATTCAACTCACCATTTCACAGCTGTCTAAAAGCTAATTTTAACTTGTTTTGGTAGTTATATTTAGATGTAATACTTGATTCTTATAGTCTATAGTAGAGAATACAGAATGTTTTGTTGATAGAGTTGCTTTTTATGAACTGATTTAGATAAGAATGAGGCAATTGCTTGTTAACCACACTTGTATGCACGTCCCATTTGTTGAGTGAGACATAGTGCCTGATCTCTTTTTCTTTTTTATTTATGATACAAGAAAACAAATTTGTCTTTTAAGTAGAATGTCTTACCTCTCCTAGTGTCTCTCCAAACCACATTATCTGTACTTTTGGGGCTCAGTTTATGTAGTCTTCAAGGAAATTTAATAAATAACAATTTTGAATAAAAATGCATATTTTATATATCTGTCTTTTCAGATAAGTTTTTACACATATGGTTCTGTCCTCCTTAGTTAATTTTTTTTTCTATTTAGTAGGATGACATGTGAAATACACAGTTACATTCATTTCAGGGGCAGAGCTCTTCAGACTGTTTTTATTAAAATTAGTGTTTAGCAATTTATTATTTAAGAAGTTGCCAGATATAGCATCCCTTTCTCTGTTTTAGTACCATTTTTATGCCAAGGATGTGAAAGGTAACCATCATCCTCTGAATGTAAATAAGTTATAATGGTACAATCTTAGTTTAATTTCACTTTAGTAACCCATCTAGTTTTAAATTTAGAATGATTTAAAATCTGTAAACATTTAATAAATTATCTTTTAATCTTTTTCAGATGCCCCATTTTAAGAGAAATATAACTTCTCCAAAGCTTATAGTCATATATTGTCTTTTCTTCCAATAATTTAGTTTGAAACTAATGAAAACATCAAAGGAAAATATTTACAAACATTCACATATTCATTTCAAAGGCATATATGTTTCTCTTATTGCCTGGAACTTGTTTTAAAACAAAAAGCACTCACCACAACATAAACTCATAGAGAATTCCAACATGTCAGAAATATGTTTGTGGTCTTATGAAGTGTTGCTCTTTTTCCTAGGTCATTTCAGAATGTAGAAGAATGACGAGGTGTTTGTTTAACATGTTTACTACTGAGCCCACATTAGAATCCCTTTGGGCCTTTGACCTTGTTTTGAGAAACCCTTTCTTCAAGGTATTCTTTTGTCCTCCAATTAAATAGTAGAAAGTGTGTTCGTGGTGTAGTATTTTAAGGTGGTAGAAGCAGAAATTTACAACTTTAAGAACATTTTTGAGCATACTTTAAATAAATGACTTCATTAGATATCTTCCTTGTTCCCTTCAGTAAAAATCTTATCAGTTTTCTGCCGATGGTATACAAATGATGAGCATTTTCTTTGATGAGGCTTTAACCATTATTCGGGGGGGGGTCTTTGTAAATTTTATAAGTCATAAGATTGTGTATTATTTTACACAGAATTGCATTACAAATATGTTTTTAACTGTTCTTTGTTTCTGTAGTATTTAAGTGTTATGCCAGTTCTTTTCATGTTATATAGAAATTATCTCAGAATACTCACCAGGGGAATAAAGCAGTCGAAGTCAGAAAGGTTGGCATTCTGGTATTCTAAAAAAAAAAAGTTCATTTTCCATAACCCTGTGGTCAGATCATGTTATGCATATGTAGCTTGGGTTAAATTTCAAGTTCTGTTTTCAGTGCCAGTATATTTACTTTATACATTTGTTTTGTTTTGATTTTTGTCATGTACAACACTGCTGGTGGTAACAATTAATCTGTGTGGTGTATATTCTTTTTCATGTTAACAGCCTTTAAAACATTGAATATAAATTTTTTAAAATGCTATTATTAAACACATTTCAGAGCCTCAGACCATATTTTCAGAGCTGTCACACAGATACCAACAGAGCCACCCTACAGGAAGCAGCTGGAGAGCTGGAGTCCCATATACTCGGGCCCTCCTCTTATCCCAGTGGAATAAATTTTGACGTTACACTTTGCTCTGTTCACCACTGTTTCCATTTCAGTTATAAATTATCAAGTTGCTGGTTAATGATGAGTTTAGTTATAACGTTAATTTTTCTCTAGTCAGCTTCTGGAGCAGGTTCAGTTTCCATGAACTCTGATTCAACCCCGCTGTACCCGGGCAGTTAGGCAACAGGAAGGAGAGGAAGTGTCCTCAGCACGTGTGATGCGAAAGTTGGCAGCACTGAGAAAAAAAGAAAGAAAGAAAGGGAGGAGGTGGTTAAGGAAGGGCTCCTGTGCCTGGCGCTCTCGTGGTGACTGTCACAAAAGCCCATCCGAACTGTCAGTCCCAAGAGGCCCCTGCAGCCTCGTACAAAGAGCACTTGAACCAAGGACAGCTGGCCGGCAACTGTCTATCCCACCTCAGCTGACGTGTTCATGTGATGGATGACTCACTGTGGCCAAGTATCTGTTTCACAATGTCTGACACAGTCCCCTTTTTTTTTTTGTATTCGTACCTGGGTCTGAACTTGGAACCTTCCACTTGCCAGGCAGGTGGCGGTGGCGGCACCACTGAGCTACATCCCCAGCTCTTTTCAGTTTTGTTTTTAGCTTTTCTTTAACTCTTGAACTGCCCTAGCCTCCTTGGACATTCCTATTGAAATGCTCTGTGATTCTCGTTGTAGTGCTATTCCCACATAAATACAGCCATTCCTTGGAAAACCTGTTTTGCTTTTTGATTTACATCGACATTAAGAAGACTTCTGAAACTTCGATGAAAATTACTCAGAACACATAGGATGCATGCACTACTGGCTCTGCAGTAGTTTCATATATGGCTATGCACTTGTCTGGTTCCACTCTCCTGTGTTACCTTTTTCATTAATAAACTGGGTTTTGAAATTGAAACTGAAAAATAATAACTTTACAAGCTGCAGGATTACTGACAGCCTTTTTTGATCTATTTCCCCACTTTTGCTCACCCATCAACTTTCTTATTTTTAAATTATTTTCCTTCTTACCAAATTTCTCTCTCCTTTGATTCTTTCTGATACAATGAGATTCTACACAAGCCTTTCTTATTCTATGATTAATTTTTCTTTAATGTGTTTAAAACTACAGTACAGTACATGCGATAGCAAATGAGGGTTAGATTTCTCCTGAGCTACTAAAGGATAATACTTTTCTGCTACTGCATAAGACTCTTCCAACCATAGTGTTGTGTTTAGTCTCTACCTCTGATGCAGGGACATTTTAAGTCTTCAAACGAACAAACAAAGCTCACTTGGGAAACCAAAAGCCTCCAATATGTAACTCAGCAGATGCTAATTTATGATAGTATTCACCAAGGTTTTCTTTTAGGAATGGAATGTACCATATGCATCTTTAATCTTATTTAATTAAACGAATTCATTCAATACACACTTGCACTGAATCCAGTCTGCAAAGCAGTATACTAAGAGCTGGGCAATTTAGGACAGGAGAACTATTTAAGTACCTTTCCACATGAATTTCTTTATATGGCACATTTCTGTTTCACAGGCACAGTGGTAAACACTTAACAAAACAACTACCTCATTTAATCTTCACAGCAGCATTCTAGCAGTATCACACTACCTCGCGGAAATATACTTTGCTAGAAGCTGCAAAGTGAGCTGGAATTTTTAACTCAGCTTAGCTGTACCTGACCAAAGATATAAAATCTTTAACATACCTGCTCCCGTTGACCCTCCCCGGCCCTGAGCTTCTGAGTAAGGTTTTCTGGGGTTAAAACTCAAAGAGCCTTTCTATCATTTAATCTATTCTACAGCTCTTTTCTTCTTTCTTCTCGGTTTTTGTTTTTGTTTTTTTTTTTTGAGACAGGATCTTGCTGTGTAACGTAGGCTGGCCTTGGATTTGCAGCAATCCTGCTTTAGACTCTAGAATGCTGCGATCACAGATGTGCACCACCGTGTCTGGCTCTTTTTGGCATTATACATTGAAATATGCTCCTTCAAAATTCCTACTTTGAGGCTGGTCTTAATATGAATGCCTGTAACCCCAGCACTTGGGAGGCTGAGGCAGGAGGATCGCTGTAAATTTGAGGCCAGCCTGAACTACAATAGGGAGACCCTGTCTCCAAAAGCAAAAACCAAAACAAAACAACAATTCATACGTTGAAGTCCTAACTCCTAGCTCCCCAGAACAAGGCTTCATTGGGGATAGGTGTAATTAGTTAAGAAGTGGTCTACTGGAGCAGGGCGGGCCTCTAACCTAACAAGCATTGATCTTAGAAAAAGTACAAATGTGGACACAGATGTGTAGACACAACAGCACCATTGGAACTTTGGCGTGTATTAAAGAAAGTCACAGAACGCCAAGATTGCCAACCATCTCCAAAAGCTAAGAAAGAGGGGAACAGCAGATTCTCACAGCCTCAGCAGGAGTTAACCTTGCTAACAATGTAACTGCAGATTTCCACCCTTCAAACTATGAGATGACAACCTTCTCCTTTGTGTGGCACCCCTAGACATCCACAATTAGATGATCCAGAAATCCAAATTTGACTGCTGTCTTTTCTCCTGCCTAACTGCCATATTCCCTTCATCTACCTCATGTGCAAAACGTTAGCACAGTCACTGAGACAGAACCAGTTGCGGTATTGCCAAAAGTGAAACGTAGAGTCATCCTTGAATTTCCAGGGACCTCCCTGTCATCTTGTGGGGAATCATTCAAATGGCTGAAAGGTCATAAGCACAGCCTTGAAGTTCCCTGGGATAAAAGACCAGTTTGCACACTTACTAGTGATCTGACTCTGGCAACCCTCCAAGCACTGGCTCCTTCGTGGTAGAGAGAGCTAACCCTATTCCACGTAGGGTCTCTATGGCAACCAAAGGGGGAAACACACGGTCAGAACTGAGCACGTGACCTGGCACACAGAAAATGCTACACAGCACTGCCTATACTGTTGTTGTTCCTAACACAAACTGTACAATTCATTTTTTTTCCCCCTTTTTGCAGTGCTGGGGATCAAATAAACCAAGGGTTTTGAACATGCTGGATAAGGATCTACCATTGATCTATCCCTCCAGAAGTGTATGATTTCAGGCTCATCTGTGTACAGTATGTAAATGCTACAATCTGCTTGTAGAAGAGTGACCACTCGTATTTCTTTCCACCTTTGCCAGTATCTAAAATTTAGAGGTAAACTTTAAACAGTGAGCTAAGAGAATCTGTATTATTGAGTCCTAGTATCACAAGTGTGCCCTTTAACTTTAATTTTTGGGCTAGAACTGGTTATGTACAGGCTTCCAGGAAATTTAACTTCAGCTCTAAGTAAAGAGAGATTTGTGGCTGATTAAAAAAAGGCAGTTATTAGCTCAGAGGACCATGATATTTGAATCAACACAACAGAATAGGAGCTGCTACAAAAGATAAACCAGCTCTGAAGTGACTGGTTCTATGCTGAGAAAAACAGACCTAAAGGCACCAAGCTAAAAGCCACTGAGTCATTTTTCTTTCGTCTAAATGGCACTGTTTGGTGACAGCCTACGTTTAACTTCCCAGGTCTCACTTACATTTCCCCATTTACATTTCTCACCGTTTCAGCAAATTCCTTGCTCCTCCTTTATAGAAGATTTGGGCGGGGAGGGTTAGAAACCTATGTTTAATAAATTAACCTTTACTGAGCTTAGGTCATGAGAAAAGTGCTGAAACACTGCCTACTACATTCTTTCTCGAATATTACAAATGCTTTAAGTACTTCCAAAAAAAAAAAAAAAAAAAAAAAAAAAGCAAAGAAGGCATCCACCCCTTTGCCCCTGTTCTTTGGAATCACAGCTTTTCTTCGCCTGCTCAAATGAGTGGAAGCCGCGTTCCAAACGCTGTCCTAAGCCCAAAGTCCCCTCACCTTTCTGTCCGCATCACCCCCAAGCGCTCACCACCGCCGCTCAGTTCCACCCTCAAAGCCCTGAGGTGTCCTAATCTTAGGTTTGAATCTTAATCTCGCTTCAGAAAAGCAGTGACAGGGTCATCACTTAGTAAGGTTTTTATTAGTACAGTTTGCAGTGCATATTGTTTACTATTCCTCGTAAGCAGTTGGTGCGTGTACAAAACACAGCTTAGTTCTTTTTTGACCCCCTTCCCATCTCCCACGCTTACATATATAATGGTTTTTCTTACAGGAGACACTCAAAGTATAGATAAATTAAAGAGCAAAACAAAAGATAATAAGAAACACGTAGATAGATCTTTTGTAAAAGGGAAGGGGGCCAAACTATTTTTTCGAGCAAGGCTCGATAAACACTTGGGTGAGTTACAGACGGGAGAGACGCAATCTCAACACTTTAAAAATGAAACTCGATGCACTTGAAAAGCCAAAAAACGAATGCTATCGATTTACCAAAACTCCTGCTGCACGTCCGGGGCACTCGCGAATCTGACATCGACGCCTGTGTGCCCCAGGGTGGCCCCTATAACTGCTGACTGGCTTGGTGACTTGTCAGGAGAGGAAGTTAAAAGGAAATAAAAAGGATAGCGGGGATTATATTAAGCTGTTTGGGGCATCAGCTGTGGAAAGGGGGCAGGAGAATGACCAATCACTTCAAAATTAAACATCTTTCGTCCGGAAAAAAAAAAAAATCGAGATGAGGCTCTGGAATTCCACTCCTTACTTCCCCACGTCCTGGAAGGAGCAGGGTCGGATTTCGCAAACACTGCGTCGTCGTCTCCTTCCTCCAAGCACCAAATCCCGTCCGTGCCGGTCACTCTGGGCCTTTTTCGGTGCGATCCAGGCATCCTGCATCGCGCCGGAAACAGACTGAGGACCCAGACGCGACAGCCCGGGAAGGTGGGATTTGAGAAGTGCTTAATAAAAGTAGTGAAAACAGGAGCCAGGGCGCAAGCCTGTAATTCCAGCACCCCCAAGGCTGAGGCAGGAGAGTGGCCGCGAGTTCTGGCTCAGCCTGCGTTACACAGTGAGTAAAAGGCCAGCCTGAACTACATAGCGAGACCCTGTCCCCCCAAAAGCCAAAAAGAAGTGGCGAAAACGTGTTGTTTGGCTCAGGAAACCGAGATGAGGATCGCCCAGAGAATGACACGTTCACTCAAAAGGGCAAAGGGGGCCCTTCAAGAAAACTCAGTCGGTGAAGACCAAAGGAAATGACAAAGTTGTAGAGTGAGCAATTCCCAGAGAGAACGCGGTCAGCGATGTTTGACTTTTCTCGCGCTCCGTCAGACGTTTTCTGGGCCTCCACTGACCACGCCCTCAACAGAGACCTACAGCGGGAGGCTGTCTATTGTGGTGCCTGTCGCGCGCGCCAGAACCCGACTGGGCAGGGACGGGGAACTTTCCTTTACAACGGTCCCAAACCGGAAACAGAAACGGTCGAAGTCTGGCACTGCGAGAGCCACCCTATTCGTGGGACTACGTGCACATGCGCACAGGAGGGCAGCAAAACCTTTAAATAGCGTCCGGCGGACGCGTGCAGCCTCTTTCCCTGCCGCCGCCTAGTAGCGCGGAGGCGGAGGCCCGGGGTGAGTTGGCTCGAGGATGAAGTGTTTTTGGTCCCTGTTTTGATGACTTTTTCCTTAAAGGGGTGGTAAAAATTTGGGTTTTTTGTTTAATACTGTAACAATTGCCTTTTCAGTGTGTTCAAGATTCGGCTTCACCCGTAACCCGCCGCCATGGCCGAGGAAGGGTGAGTGGCCCCAGGGTCGGGGTAGGCGTGCGGGAAAGGCCTGGGCCCTGCGGAGCTGGGTCTAGGGCGTTGCTACAAGCGCACTTCTCGTACATCGCCGAAACTTGTGCCGAGGCCAAGGTGTCAGAACTTGCGAGGATTTAACTGGTGGCTTTGTGTTGTCGCTTTTCAGCATTGCTGCTGGAGGTGTAATGGACGTCAACACGGCTTTACAAGAGGTGCTGAAAACCGCCCTCATCCACGACGGCCTAGCACGTGGAATTCGCGAAGCTGCCAAAGCCTTAGACAAGTACGTGCGTGAGTCTCAGTACTACTGTGGGTTGTTGCAACCGGAACAAAACCGCAACCAAGGGAAGAAAGCGTGGAGTTCATGGTGTTAGCACAAAAGTTCTGAATGGCATCCGTTCAACAGGAAACCTAGGAAAAGGTATCAGAATTCAGATCTACGTATATAGCCCACTTAAGGCACGTGGGTTGCTGCTTTGGAAGGGGGTTGAGCAGTAGATCTTTAAAAACTACAGTGTTTGAATGATGACTTAAGATTGTCGGATACCCCTTCACTCGGTTCATGGGTGAAACATGAACAGTCTGACAAACCTGTAGGTTATGGAGTAAGTTTCACGTTGATGGGATAGATGGGGAATCTTATATAATTAACATAGTCCTAACTAGTCAAAATGTTAAAGCAATAGTGTGTTACACTAGTAGTTCTGAGAATAGTAGCTATGGAAATCATTTATGGAGTGCTTGTTAATGTATATGATTTTGGTACTGATTATTAAAAAACATGTATACATTAATGATCAGTGAGAATTTACATGAGTTTTAATGCAGTGGAGACGGTACCCTGGATATACTAAGGCAGGTCCTGGCATGACATTTTCTGTATATTTTATCTTCCTTGGCAATAGCGTGTAGTATGTTTTTATGTCTAACGTATAACTTTTTGTGGTAGTTTGCATTTAGCATACACCTTCAGATGTGTGAAGCTGACACCTTGGCCACGAATTTTTGTACTTTGCCTATACATGCATGTTTGGGGGGGAAATTAACTGAACGTCAGCATTCCAGTCTCTGAAACTGAATTGTGGTCTAACGGGTTTGTCACAGCGGAGCAGCTTCATATGCATTTATGGTGCATTGATGGGTGTGTTGCTTACAGCTTGCCAGTGTGGCCGGTGCAGAGATAACCCTTTAGCTGTACCAGGATTTAAAACTGGAGTTTTGGCTTCATTGTGGTTGCATTTTGTGTTTCAGGCGCCAAGCCCATCTTTGTGTGCTTGCATCCAACTGTGATGAACCTATGTACGTAAAGTTAGTGGAGGCCCTTTGTGCTGAGCATCAAATTAACCTAATTAAGGTGAGTTGATTTATCCACACTGTTGGAGGCGTCTTAGCTGAGTTGGGCTGGTCACGTGTCAAACATTAGGACAGGTGTGATCTGAGGCTGATGGGTGCTGCAGATGCACACATTTTCAGGGGTCTGACATTGGCTGTAAATTCAAGCTAGTTATCAAAGCATTTTGTAGCTGGAGAACTAAATGCAAACTTGGGTAATAGAACAAGAAGGTGGGGTGCTTAGTGTTTTTGGTGCTGTACATGATGACAACTGGCTCCCTCTGCTGAACTGCGTTGAGGAAAATGCCATGTCACCCTTCTGACTACAGCTACCTTTGAGGCTTAATTCTGTCAGGAATGCTACTGCCTATTAAATAACGCTTTTGTTTTTAAATTACCAAATAGGTTGATGACAACAAGAAACTAGGGGAATGGGTAGGCCTCTGTAAAATTGACCGAGAGGGAAAACCCCGGAAAGTGGTTGGTTGCAGTTGTGTGGTGGTTAAGGTAAGTCAGTATTTGTTTTTGGGATGAAGGTTTTGCTGGTTAGCTGTATATGAGTCTGGTGTTGAAATTTTGAAGACCTCTTAAGGGGAGTAATGTAGTTCTGAACAGGTGTAAAAATGTTCTAATAAGCTGTAATTTAAAAGCCAGCTATTGGATCTGCTTATCTGTATGTGTTTGTGCAGAAATTTAGAGAAAGCTGGCAATAGTAATGCCATGTTACGAGCCTTAAAGACGTATCAAAGTCATTAAGGTCCCTGGAAATGGCTATACATTTTAATGATGAAAAATGTATAAGACATTAAAATGTTAGTATAACTCGTGGTAAGAACTACTGAAACTAAGTAAGAAATGCCTGTAATTTTTTTAAAAGGACTATGGCAAAGAATCTCAGGCCAAAGATGTCATCGAAGAATACTTCAAATGCAAGAAATGAATGAATAAAAATTTTGGCTCACTTCATTGTCTGGCTTTTTATTTGGGGCAATAAAATAAATTCTGTGGGAAAAGTAACATTGCAGATGGCTATTAGCAAAAATAACTGTTTGACTTCTTGGTTTCTAGGTGAAATTCTCTTCAGTAACCTCAGTGCTGAAAAGATTAGCAGCCTACACAAAGGTGGGCCTGCTGTAAGGAAGAAGGTGGTGGGAGTGGGCATTTTGTCATCGAGTAGCCCACCCTAAAGCCTGCAGAAAGGCTGAGCTGAGGGGGTGACAATAATACAGCAGGTAGGCCAGCCAGAAAAGTACCAGTGCAAGCAAGGTCAGCTTCAGACTGCTGCTCAGAGTGTGCTGCAGTTTATGTTGACCTAATCTTTACTGAAGCCAGATGCTTCTTATTACTGGAGAGAACAGTTTTTGGAAATTATTTGGTACATGCGCAGAATTTGGACTTGTACCTGAGAGTTGTCTGGCCCCTCATGATAAGCACTTCATTTTCTTACTCTTGTTGTTTGGTCTTGAGTTTATAAAATGTATTTCTAATAAGCAATTTTAAATGTTTAAATGAATCAGGACATCAGAGAACTTGTGAAAAGGCTGTGTAAAGGGGAGAGTTTGTCAATTTTTACCAGGATTGTTGAGAAACAAGTGTATAAATTCTGGTAAATTGGAAACATCTATTAGTCTTATAACGGAACTAGATTCTTTTCCTTTGTAATTGAGTATTCTTTTCAGCATAGATTCAGGCTTAAGGAATCTGGTAATCCCCAGAAGCACTCTGGAGAGCCACAGTGAAGGAAAGGGGGAATGTCCAGTCTAGGAGGGGAAGTAAGGTCACAGTTTTCACTACTGCAGACCAAGAGCAGCTGAGACAGGTTTCCCTTCTCTCAGCTGTGGACTTTTCAGAAGCTCAGCCAGTACCCTGAAGGCAGTGTGGTGTTTGGGGAGGTATATAGGATGCTGGCCAGAGGGCTCTCCTGGGGACTCTGCTGTGGCCCTGTGCTGAGGGTGGGAACTGGGGGGTCCTTGAGGTGGTTGATAAATCATGGAGAGATCAGGTTTTTAGGGTTTTGACTGAAAAATACACTTCAGAAAGCTAGGCTCAGGCTCTGGAGGCAGTACATTATTAGTCCTTTGTAGTAGCAACAGGCTTTCACTTTGAAGGTAGCATTAGCACATCCAACTAGACACGTATGAGATGTTTCAGCTAGTTTTATAGTCTAGAGCCTAATTGAAGACTGCTAATTAAAGTTGCATTGGAGTCTGATTTTTCCTTCGAAAGACTTATAAACCAGGGAGGAGGGTGAGTCCTGAGAATTGGTTACCTATATCAAAGGGGCAGTTTGCTAAGCTCCTGCTTGGCAGGAGACACCCTTAAGGAGATGTGAGCTCCGTGACCATCTTCACATTCCTGTTCAGGTCTCCACAGTTCCTTGGCTGTAGGAGGGAAGTGTACTTACTGGAGAGACAAACGTCTTGATGGTTCCTTAGTCTCAAGTGTCTTGAAAAAACAATTGAAAGGGCCTAGTGATCCTCCAGTGGCCCTACCGATCCAAGATGGTCTGTTAACTTGTTCTTTTTTGGTAATGAGGGAATTATAAAGCATTAATCCAGAGTCTTTAGTTAAAACAGTCAAGTTTCTGTTAAAAGAATAGGAATAGCTGTAAACTCAGTGTTACTAGTACTTGATTAAGGAATGATGTCACCGAAATGGGCAGTATGAAAGGACACTTTGAAGCAGCTTTCAGAACGTGGGGATTGAACTTGGCTCCTTGTGCTCAGGAGACGTACAGTGGAACAACTGAGCTAAATCCCCAGCAGGATCGCATTTTGAGGAGGAGGAGTATGAAGACTGCCAGGAGAGGGAAGTGTGTACATCAAGGTGTTGGTTTGGGAAAATGTGGACGTTTTGTTTTCATTGGTTCTCAACATCTGTGTAGCAAAAAATTCCTAAAGCTAATTTTAAAGTACCACTAATGTAACAATTTTAAATGTTTGGGAAATTGCACTTGCTTTTAAATGGAGCTGCTAAAAATGACTCAATTCCTCTGGCCAGCAGGGGCGGTAGGAGGCAGGTCAGGAGTGGTCAGTGAAAACCAAAGAGGCTACAAAGTGCTGCAGGCTCTTACTCTGGGAAAAGATTCTTCACTTTGAGGATTTTGGGAGTCAGAATGCAGATGGAGCCGAGTTTTGGTTTAGCCCTTTGGGTTGCACTTCGTTACAAATGGTACCATCATTTGACCAGAGATTAATAAAAGCTTCAAAAATTAATACCTAGAAACTGACCTATCTTTGCTTTTCGATAATTTACACTTTAAAATTTAAGGGATGTTTTGTATGACAATTCTAATTTGATGTGATTGTAGGTTTAATGAAACTTTATAAATAAAACTCAGTAATTGCAATGCCATTAAATTCAGGACCCCTTGATGGATGTCGATTGATTTTATCTTCAAAACTTGCTAATTTTGCTCCATTGTATATAACATCTGTATGAAATGCAAACCAAATTATGGGAATCTGAGCAGTTTTTAGTGAAAGCCTGCTGTAGGCCATAGTGATGAAAGGATGGCTTTCCCGTTACTTGGTCTGTTTTCTTAGTTGTCCTTATCCTGCTTTGGAAGTAAGTAGGTGGATATTATGAGGACTTTGGTCACTCCCTGGGTTAATATTCTGAAAGATCAATATTCATACTCTAAAGCATGAACAAATAATAGAATAAGTAGTGTTTCAGTTTTGCTTTTTCTCCCTTTAGGCCTAGTTACATATTTTTTGTGGTGCTGGGCATCGAACCCAAGGGCTTGCACACAGCCACATCCCTTTTCACTTTTACTTTTTTTTATTTTTTTGTTTTTTTTTGAGACAGGGTCTCACTACTTAGTTGAGACTGACCTGGAACTCTATGTATCCC